GTGCATGTCAAAGACTGCCGTCAAATTTAGGTGTCAGATGATTGATATTCTGTTTTCATAAGAATACCGACGTTTTGGATATAGACAAACCAAAAATATAACTGGATAGAACTCTTCATGCTGATTCTAACCTTACCAAAATTGTTTAGCGCTAGTAAAAAATTAAGAAGGTATAGGAGGTTAAGTTAAATTTTTCGATATTTTGAAATATCTTATGAACTACATACATAAGCGATTAAACAACTAATCATGTGAAAATAAAGATGATTAGTTTATCTTTCAGTTGATGTACATATATTTTCTGGTTTTTTATATTTTTAAGTCGAAAATACTAAAAAACAAAAAAAATGATTTTTTCATAAAATTACCTTTTTTGAAGAAGATTGCATAAATAATGCTACAGAAATTTATATTATTTAGAAAGTACAAGTTATTACCTTACATAGAAAGGTTTTTTTAAGGCAAAATTTAACGAAAGTAGTGGTAAAAATCGAAATTGTATATATATATTTTTCAAATGGCGTTTACCTAAAACTTGTTTTAAAAATAGTTATAGTAAAGACGTCGTAAAAAAGGTATTGAAATTATCTTTGAATTGGCGCCAATACTTTTCTAATCGGTCAAGTAGTTTCCGAGATATTAAACACATAAAAAATAGGAAAGTTGAAGTGTAACCTGTTGTATTTTCTTTTTTTTAATTGCTCTAAATAATTTCGGTATGGTTGATATTAGCGTTAAAAGTTATATCGATCTGCATTTTTGGTTTTTTCGTAGCTAAACTGTTGGTATTGTAGCTAGGATCAGCTGTTCGCATGGCAAACGAAGTCGAAATTGCCAACATGTTGGCAAATACATTTTGGTTGCCAAATGCTTCCACATCAGAGGCGAGGGCCTATTTCACTTGGCTGTCATTTTATATGACCGTGCGTGGTGATATATGAGAACAAACGCAAATAACACCAGATGAGAACCCGTATTCATTATTTTGACAACATTCTACGTCAAATATGACCTAATGAAAACCAGGCTTAACAGCCTTTTTAGCATTCACTCGTTCATTAGGTCTGATATCAAAGCGCGAAAGAGTCGTGCATTTTTACTGAATTAGCCGATATCATGCTGGCCAGGCCCGACGAAAGGGAGGGGGAAAGGGATGAATTCCCCCAGGCGTGTGCTTCTTAAGGGGCCCGAAATATCAGAACCATAACTTGTTATTATTTTTTTTTACAATGTAATTGCTCCTTGGTTATAGGCTTTTATTATAAATATATTCCGATTCCAATACCGCTGAAACTTGCTAAAACACAACTTTCGGATAGCTTTTCTTCTTGCATCTGAAAGCATAAGTACATATGTGGCAAAATTTAATATATACCTAAAATATATTGTAACTCTTGTTGTTTAGGATTTATGAATGTTTCAACAGCGGACTGTTACATTACAATTTTCGGAAGTACTTTTTAAAGCTTTTTTATATTATCGAAAACTTCTGTCTGCTCTCCTTACATAATGTTTTCAAAAGTTGATAGACAGTTTCTTAGCTTAAGGATGGAACTCAAGAACTACGTATTTATTGAACTGATAAAATTATTTTCAGGCCAATATTTGCAAAAAGTAGTCGCACTGTTACGTTACAGGAAAAGACTGTTACGTTACCTCTGCGATATACATACATACATACGTGTATATTAGAATTAGGTTTTTAAATAGCTTGTAGTCTATTTTATGCAATAAGTAGCATGAATTCAGTAGACTTGCGGTTTGACATGTAATCCAAAAAATTTAAAAACATGTTAATCATAAATACAGATTTGAAAGTTTCAGTTGATGTGCAGCTGTAGGTAGTTTCGGAATTAATTTTCTGTTTAGAACTCAAGCTCGAGCTGACAACTGCTCCAAGATATTGAGGTTTAGTACACGAAGCCATTTAGTACTATTCTTACCGTTCAAAATGCGCCTCCGATTTGTACTTTACAGTTTTTCATTCAGAAATTATAGCCATTGGAAATTATGGCCAATGAGTTAGAAAGCATATGCTTGGTTTGGCTATGTTAGATTCGAGGACACGGCTGTTTAAGTGGCCGTAACTCGTGAGAGAAAAATCGTATGCCACCATTCGAGAGTGCATTTTGAAGGATAATAATGGTAATAGAAAAATATCTGAAATAATTCTAACAGATTTTTACTATTTAATCAGAAAATCTCCTTCTTCTTTTAGCTTCTTAGTTTGCTTCTTTTGGCCTCGTTCGTTTTTGAAATAATATAACTCTCGCTTTTTTATTTTTTTTACGTTATTTTTATTTCCTGAGCGTATTTGAGTTTGAAAGAATATACATTTTAACTATGGCACGGTGAATAGCTTACCATGTTGCTTTCAAATGAGCCCTATCTCCAACTAAATAAAAAATAATTTTACTTAAAATTCAATTAGTAAAAATACTTACGTTACAAATAATTTTGCCCCGAAAAAACATGGATAATGAAGAGTATAGGAAACTGCTTTTTTTGCGAAGAAGGCTGAAAATGCTGGAAGAAAACCAGATTTTTTCCATTTTTTAGCCTGGTGGTTTCCGCGCGCAAAAACTTTTTTTGTATTTTGGATGTTACCTTAAAAATTTTTGCCGACTTTTTTTTCATTACTGATTATTTAGTTGAATATATTTTATTAACTTCAAAGTAATACAAGGCAATCGAAGAAAAGCAAGTATAATGCAAAAAAATGTGGCCTTTGAATATAAACAACCCTTAATTTCATGTTGCGCTTTTTTAATTTTCATTAACTTAAACGTGTCTCAGGATTAAGTAAATTTTCATGTTTGAGGGAAGGAAATTCGTGTTAATATTTATGTATATTGTCTGATACCTCGGTGTATGTATGACCCAGATGTAATAAAAAATCTGCGAAACTTGAGAAAAAAAAATTTCCCCTAGGTCCCGTTTTTGGCGATTTGCGCCATATGCTTTTAATTTTATACACTTTATATATAGGGGCCCGTGATTCTTTAGTCCTGGGCCCGAGTTTTCTCTCGACGGGCCTGATGCTGGCAAGATGAATGTTGTTGTCCGCAACCAACATAATGTGTGACCTTCCCGTGGACAGGAAATGATTATTAAGTTTCCCTCGTACTTTAATCGCACCCAATGCTCTTAGTCCAACATCCTCCAATCCTCTATTTGAAAAAAGAACGGTTCACGGTCTGAATACCTCCAATAACTATTGAAACTGTCTGATTCGTTAAGTTTAAGCAGATTTAATAAAATTTCCACCGTCACTATTTTATTAAAAAATAAACCAACTTACAATCGCAACATTATATGCAACAAACACGCCGTATTTTATGCACTGCGTTTAGTAAAAGATCCGCTTCATTTTGGTTTGTTACTGTTACAGTTTGTTACTCTAAAGTCCCAAGAAATCAAATAAAAAACTTTTTAATATACTATAACGGACTAAGAAGCAGAAAATAATTTTTCCTAGACTAATAGTATATTGATAAGTGCTGATTTTAAAGACTTAACAATTGTCATTACAAACAATTTATGAGATTTTAAGTGAAAAACATAGGGCGCATCTAATACACTTAAAGCGTTATAGTTTATTAACAATTCCATTAGATTTAATTGTCAGTAAGTCTAAGGACTTTGATCTGAAATATTTGGATATAATAGTCACTTTTATATCATTAGGCAATTCAAAGTATATAACGCGCATAAAAATTTGACATCGTCTGCGGAGATCTGAAATATCTACTGCGCAACTGCTAATTCGGCATCGATTTTAAGCAATCGATTTCATAAATTTTTAAACAACCGGGATTGGTTATATATCACTTCAAGTCTATTACATGCATCATATAAACATATAAATACTATACGTAGAAAAATTACAAGGGGTCCGAATACAAAATTTAGAAGTTGATATTTTGAGGACCCTCCTAATGTGCATATATATCAGAGGGCTAAATGAATTCATTCAAAACGGCTTATGAATTATTCATATACAAAACGAATGAATCATTCATTTTGTTTAAATTTTTTTTTGAATTTGAGTGAATACCTGTCTGATATATGTGTCGACCTTAAAATATTCCAAAGTGGAAATAAATTGGATAGAAATAAATGAAAATTTTTTGTATGACTATCCAAAAATATTTTTTCTATGCACATATGTACAAACATACATATTTATGTATGTATGTATTGCTGCGCTCCTGTTACAATACGAACAAATTTGTTTGTAGAAAAAAACTTTTACCGAAATGAGTTTGAATGATTTGAATGTTTTCCATTCATTCATTTACATTCTTTTATTTGAAGGTAGAATATTTAAAATAAAATGTGTATTCATAACTTACAAAATTCCAAACGCTGGGTGTTTTATATGTGAAGTAAAATATTCAAATCTACTGTACTCTGTTTGGCTAGGAATTTGAATGAATTAAAGCAGCCCTCTAATATATATGTGTGTATGTATGTATTTATATGAATACATACCCATATCTCATAATATAGTAGGGCGATTTGTGAAACGTTACAAAGTGGCATTTTTGGCGAAATACGATACGAACAAAATTGTATAAATGACCTATTGCAACTTCGGATTGCAAGTTTTGTCGCAAGAAAGCTTTCATACAAAAGTAATCAGCAGTGTCTCAAGTTGGCAAATTTTCCAACAAATGCGACAACTTGCGACGTTTCATGAATCCCAGTAATGGGCCGTATGAATAAAAACTAAGCAATTGCTTTTTCTTAAAATTTCATACCTTTTACTTCAATTTTGTTTGAATAAATTGAGTAAAAGATCGGAAATTTTAAGAAAAAGCAATTGCTTATTTTTATTCAAACGGCCCAATGTGTATCTATAAGTGCTAGCTGAAAACGGGAAGTTAAAGAAATAACTCACTAACTTGTATATTTTTGCATATTATATAGGTCTAAGTATACATATAATCTTCTTATTATTTTTTTAACAAATGTGTACACGATCATTTATTTTGCAGTAAATGGTATTCCTGGCCGCGATCATGTGATGGGAACAAAAATAGGTAGCCCTTATGATCCGCATCCTTCATCAACTTTATCTGAGGTCAATAGTCCAGCCGAAAGCCTCGTTGGAGGGGTAAGTTATCGCGATATTTTTACGGATTGAATGGCAAAATTCGATTATATGTATGTGTGTATTAGCAGACCCTGCCTTAAATTTAATTTATCATTTGTATAATATTTTTAATCATATTTGGTGTTGCTTTCTCTTGCTAAATTAGTACATACATATGGGTGTTTCCAACGGAAGGTCTACCGCGACAAAAAAAAGTCATATATCTAACGTATTTATGAGCCAATTTCCACGTCACGTAACGTTTCACACTTGGGGTTGTAAAAGAAAATTGAAACAAATTGCATTAATAAAAAAAATTAAAAACAACTAGAATTACTCCAAGCCATAATATTAAACCAAGTTTCTTGCGATTTTGTAAGAAAAGAAAAAATCAACTTCAATTTTTGTCACGTAACGACACTCTCTTTAATTGCTTATGTTTAAGGACCATGCGGGTCGATTGTTTTCATTTTTCGGCTAAATATAGAGCTAATTATGTGCTATACAAGGGTTAAAAAAGTAAAAAACAAATGTTTTTCCTTGTTTGTATCTCATTGAAACGTACGACTGTCACGTATGTGACGTATGGAAATATCCGTATGTATGTATTCTGGCATGACAGTTGCAATGGAAATTTAACCATTTTAAATAGTGGTGTCAAACTATCGATGGTTGGCAATGGTTTGTAGGCAACTATCGATTGTGCCGATAGCCACTTTCTGTTGATAGAGCAGCACTATGGATGCTAATGAGAACATTTGTATGTTTATCGTATTAGGGGTGTTAATCCATCCCAAAATCTCATTTAAAAACACCCACAATGACAGAATTGACATTGAAAACGTTTATACAATTATTTAATTTGCTCAATCCTTTTTCTTTTCTGTAATAACGTATGTATGTATATGTATGGCCACTTTCGCAAAATTCTTTACCTACGCCGCACAGTGTGTTTTCCGAACATTCCATGCGAATCAATCGTAGCGCTTTCGACATAAACAACAATTTGATAAGAAACAAAATGGTTTTGAAAGCTAATGTAATGCCCTTTCATGGAAAAATATTGCCATTGAGCCACAATTACTCTCTGACTTAAAAAATAATTTGGCAAAAATAGTGTTGTTCGAAAAAACATGCAAAATCCAGCGGATTTGTTAAAAAAAATTTTGTTGTGGACGTGAAACACGATTTCGCTGTTTAAAAAACGAAAAAAATTTTAACCCTTCTGTTGGAAAAATGCATTATGTATTGATTTTTTTTATTTGCATGCAGCTGTGCATCCGTCACACAATTTTATATCACTCGAACAACAAGTGCGTTTTAGTGCTATTCAAGACCTTTGAGCCAAGGTAGAAGTCTTTAGGCCCTTTGAGAGCTAAATTATAACGATGCTGAAGTTAATCTTACTAAAAATAAAATGCAACCAAAAATGCATTTCTCTGTACTAAATTGCAGCACTCTACGATGAATACTTCCAGAGATATGTTGTGTGAAAGCTTCAGTTTGTATGGGAGGTGCCACGACCCCTTCTTATATCGAAATTGATTTTCATCTATTATCATCCTTGGATAGTCTGGTGTCCATGTCCAAAATTTCATAAATATATGTACAGCTGTTCTCGAGTTTTTCGAACAGAAAAAAACAGTATATTTTGCTTTGTTGCCTCTATGCTTAAGTGCACATTTAAGATACCTACCCCAAAAAGCGCATCAAAAGCATTATCTTTAACATTTATAAGGAAACTGCTCCGATAGATGCATTCAACATACCTGCACATTGGCGATACCTGCCTTAAAAATTGTGGGACTAGTATCAATTATCAATGAAAGTATTACGTTTACCTGTACTGGCCCTACATTACGTAATTTTACAACCTTTTATTTATTTTGCTCATCTCGCAGAACAACGAAAATGGCTATCAACTTATGTAGTTATATAGATAATTAGATTACATTCGGTAAAAATTTCGCATAGGGATTCGGATACCTTCCTCATTGAAGTAGTAAAGAAAATTCGCTTAAGTGCCTTTTTCGGTTACGTGCACAAGTTTTTCGTGCAAAGAAGGATGTGCAGCTAAGCAAAATATACTGTATTAGTATAAATAGCAAATAAAATACATTTTTTAATTAAATGTGTCTTATGGAAAAATGTTTATGAATAATTTATTAAATAATTGCAGACATTATTTAAATTAATTTCAAGTATTTTCCAAAAAAGTTGAAGCATTCAAACGTAAAATTTTTTTCTTTAATTTTGGAAAATAAATATATAAAAAATAGAGCTCTTTTAAAAAATCGCGATGGACAGATCGACGCGAAATTTAATTATCTTTTATTTTAAAAAAAGAAACTTGAAATCGGTTCATATTTGGGCTCTCAAAATTGATTTGTCCACATCAACCTTTTTCCCCTATGCGCCGTGCCTATATGTATGTCCGTAAAATAACACTATTGGGCAATTCACAAGGTGTCGTATTTGTCGTGTTTGTCGTGAAGTCATGATATTTCATGACAGTTGTAAAAATGTTGTTATTGTTTTGTGAAGAAAAATAACACATGACGATACAACTCTGCAACCTATGTTTATTCGGTGTTATGTGAGGTTAAGTGCTGAGATATAATAAATAATCGTAACAGGTGTTCACAACCGTCGTGTTTTAACACAACTTTTGTTAGGAAAATATAACAACACCTTGTGAATTGCCCATATGTATTTTGCTACACGTGTACATACCCAGTGGGAAAAAGTAATGTATAGTAATCGAAAAAATAATCGGTAAAACAGCCGATTTCACATTCGAAAATCCATTATTTTCCCCACATAGATGTCCTAGGAAAAGTGGGGCATTCATTTTTGCATTACCAGTAATGCGATTTAATATGAAATTTTTGCGGCTTTTTGGATACATTAGAATTCTGACTACATATTAAACAGAAGTAGAATCTAGAACTCATTCGAAATACATTACATTATTTATCACGCATGTAATGCATTACCACTTTTTCCAATGGGTAGGTATAAAATATCGTGGATAGTATCGATATTCATGTACTTTCGATAGTCATAACCAGGCATGGGCAGAGAATGAGCACACGCTCAAAGAGCATAACCATCGCGTGTATGTATACAAGTAGGAGCCAAGGCGAATTCATATAAGGTGGCATCGATTCAACAAATACAAAAATTACTTGTATTTTGTTTTTGCTTTTAACTGGTCATTGTCAAATTTCAGCTATTCTTCTCCGAATGAAAAAGGGCGACAGAAAATGTAAACACTCCCACGTTTTCACTCACTCACTAGCAAATATAAAATTTTGACAATCAAACGCTACTCACAGCTGATTAAACAACACCACCTTATATAAATTCGCCTTGAGTAAGAGCGCAACGATGAGAACGCGATAGCATGTAAATTAATTAAATACCCCAACACATTCTCACTTTTAGCTAACGTTTGTTTGCGGTAGTGCCCATGTCTGGTCATAACCATAGATAGTTGCGATAGTAATGCATTATCGATATATCGATAGTGCCATCGATAGCTTTCCACCAGAGCTGCAAATATATCGATATATCGAGTAATTGTTTTTTTTGCCGATATCGATATTTTTTTCGATATCGAGTATGGCATAGCCATTTTCTTATTACTTATTTTTGCGCCAAACAACATCAGTGACTGAATTAATAGACTAAAAATCTGCGTACCAAATTTTTGTATAGAAATTCTTATTAAAAAGGTCGCAATTTTTAAGAATTTTTTTTTGATTTTTTTCTAATTTTTGCAAAAATGTTACAATTTAGGTTCATGTGGCTTTTGTTACAGATTGGGCTATACTTTTATAAAAAAGTTATGAAAAAAAATATAGAATGAAAAACATTGTAAATACTGTAATAATATCACTGTGTGATTTTGAGTGTGGGTCACTCTTCATACATACATATGTACCTCCAGGGGCGCACCCAGGAATATATTTTAGGGGGGGGGTTTTATATTTCTGAAGAGATATCACCGGAAAATACTCAAAATTTGCTTCAGATAATACCCTCTTTAAAATACATTTAAGCAAGTTTTATGTACAGTATGTAATAAATAAATAAACGTTTTAAAATTCATAAACTGCACTTTATTTACAGATTAACAGAACTCAAACGCTTTTAACCGACTTCAAAAAAAGGGAGGTTATCATCTCGCCGGAATACATAACTTTGGACCACGTGAACCGTTTTCAATAATCCTTTTTTTTATTAGAAAGATAGTACCTCAAGGTTTGTCCCGTAATTGTTTTAGAGATCCGATGATTGGATCATGAAGAAATTAACGGTACCCCTAAATTTGAATATGAGAATTGAAGTCGGTTGTGTTCTTTCCTTAAAAACTACTTGTTTAATAAAAAGTTCTATAAACTCAAGATGCACTCAACTTTCAAAAGTACCTAATATAAAATTAAAAAAAAGTCAGTAAAAATAAATTTATTGATTCCATGAATTTTTGCACTTCTATGTTCATTTTTTCGATTTCTGGTTTTCGATAGAGATGGTGATTTTTCACGATTGCTAAATTTTTTTAATATTTCAAATACCGAAAAAATTAACTGAACTCTCAAGAAAAACGAAAAATTCATATAAAACGACGGACGAGAAATGGAAAAGAAATTTTCTTCTACCAAAATTTCTTAAATCAGTTTGCAGCTCTCAAGAAAAAAAATGCTCGTATATTTATTCCCTCATGAAAATTTACAGCAAAAGCAAAGCGCTTTTTCAAGCAACAGAAATTATAATAAATATTTCTTATAATTTCCTTGAGAGCTGGATTCTTAGCTTTAAGATACAGATTGTATTTGAGGTTATTAGCTTTAGGGGGGGTTTGAACCCCAAAACCCACCCCTTGTGTGCGCTAATGTGTACCTCATATAAGTTACGGACGTTAAGTCCGTATAAGTCAAAAAAATAATTTAGTTGGGCCAACGCGCCCAATAGTTCTAACTACGAGTTACAAATCTACAACACAAATTTTGGAATCT